AACTATGAGTAGTCTGAAATTGCACCCTACTTACAAGCTAACAAGTTACCCTGACACAGTTTCATGGTTGCTGGCAAAAGACAAAACTTTTGGATCAGAGACAAAAGACTTTATTATCCATGGCACAGCAAGCAGCCTGAGCTTCATGTTTTCATCATTTCTTCTTGCCTCCAAAGTCCCACCAGAGCAATACAGAGAGGCCTAGGTAGATACTGCACACACCGTGTGTCTTGGCTTAGCAATCCTGATCTTACGGAACTCTAATCCTTTATAATGGGCCACAAGCAAACCTTTGCTCAGGAGGAGGTATTATGTTGATTATTCTGGATGGTAAGCATACCTGCCCTCCGCTTTGGAAAGAAACACTATCTCTGTTGTCAAATATTTTCTTTACACAAACATCCTTGAAACTTAGTCTAGAACAAAAGCTGTCTTATGTCTTCTGCATGTACCTTTGTACCTTATGTACATTTGTACATAAGACGTGCAGAAATGTGAGAGACCTTTCAAGAACTCTCCCAACAACAATTAATTCAGGAATGCAGATTAAAACATTTAGATACAACTTCATACTCATCAGATTGGCAACATGTAAACATCTACACATATTAGTATTAGAATGTAGAACAACAAGAATTCTACATTACTGAGGAGAGTGTCAACTGTTACTGCCATTTTGATATCAGTTTAGTAAGATTTAATAAAGTTAAAGGTACACATACTCCACAACCGAGTAATTTCAGTTTTAGACATATACCAGAGAAAAACTCCTGAACATGTGTATAATATGATTTAGAACACTTATTACAGAATATTTGTAGTAGTTAACAACTTGTTTTATTGGCCTCTATATTCCTCTGTATGCCATGCTTATAATATTTGTTAATTAAAATTGCACATAAATGCATCTGTGCACATACAAACACATATGGTACCAAATCCCTTTGAAAGAACCATTAAAATGAGCATATAAAATAGTAAAATAATAAACTATTTAATCTGTAAGCTCCTGTCTATAAATAGCCCTCTAGAAGAGTTTTTTGTTTGTTTGTGAGTCGGTGTCACACTCTTGTCACCCAGGCTGGAGTGTAGTGGCCAAGTCATGGCTCACTGCAGCCTTGAACTTCTGGGCTTGAGCAGTCCTCCCACCTCAGCCTCCCAAGTAGCTGGGACCACAGGACGCACCACCACAGCTGGCTAAGTTATTTTATTTTTGTTGAGACAGGATCTAGTACAGGCTGTTGTCAAACTTCAGGCCTCCAGCAATTTTCCCATGTCAGCCTCCCAAAGCATATGTAGTAGTTGTTGTTCTCACCATTTTATAAATGAGGAAACTAAAACTCGAAGAGATTAACAAGCTTGCCTAAGGGGACTGGAAAATCAAACCCATGTCTCTATATTTACTAGGAAAGGACAGAAAAATGAGTGTTTTCCTATACCTCCTTCCACAGCATTCACATCACTTACTCCTCAAA